GCTACAGTTATACACGTCATAATAATATTAAACATCCTGTCTGCTGACAGTCATCAACTTTCTATCTAGTTATCCTTGACCATAAGCAACCTTCAGCAACCTATTGAGAATGCCTAAGCATTTAACAGCCTGAGCTAGACATCCTGTCTACTCTAAACATTTCTAATACATCTAACCAATATCTATCTGACTAAAAATACCTAACAATTTGAACTACTTCCGATGATACAGTGAGTCTGTGCTCTTATGACATTTATTAGTTGAGGCTGGATTACAAACTGGGCAAAGTGGGAAAATGGCACAAGAGCCCCCATGTTTACTCATAGTAATCTGATTAATCTTACATTTGTTTGATTTTTGCACCTTTGAAGTACAATATCTTCTATTGTGGGTCCTCCATCCTCAATAATGTGGTGCTAGCGCTGTAGAAAGACCAAATGGAAAACACCAAATTTTGCCAAAGGGCCTCCGATGAGATAGATCTAGCCATGTTGGTCAGTACTTAAGAATTCAAATGACAAGTGCATTAGCTGATGTGTAGAGAGGCTAAAGCTGTATGATTTATATGTGGTGAAAAGTGGAAATTAAGTCTAACTCAAAAATGTTTTTTTAAAAGAAACTACGAGTAATTTTTATAAAACAAGAATCATCATTTTTAAGGAGCAATGTACAGACTCGTTATCACGTTGTCCTGTTTTGTCTTACACATTTTGAGTGGTAATATCTTATTAAACATGTTGTTCTTGACATAATTTACAGCACTACATCTACAACAATTGGTTGAAGTTTTGTGGTCAAGCCAAAAAACAGACAACTGCAGGTTTAAAACCTTCACTGATGACTTTCAGGAAGTTACTGGCATCTTTAACATTATTTACTGTGTGAGAACAAGAAAGGGTTCATAACTCTAGCTTAAAGAGCCCATGGCACTTTTCTTTGTTTTCTGACTTATCTATAACGTTACAAAGACGAATTATCATCTTAGACGTGACCTAAAGCTCAAAAAATAAGATGAACATACAGTATGTTCTAGTATTTCTATGCAGAAGCAAATGGGTTTATACACATCTTGCAAACTCTTGCTCGTGAGACTTTTTTCCTACCAAAATAAAGTATTATGTGATAGTTTAAGGATCTCCTTGAATGGGCATAAAATCCAGCCCCTTGCGCTTTCATGTGAGCTTGCCTGACATCCACCAGTGCCCCCTCCATATTGGCAAAATGTTACACTGCCTTGTTTGTCATATATGTTTTCAATAAAGATTATTAATAAAAAAAAAACACATCCATGGTGCCATTGTAAAAGTGGAATTTCTCAACTGCACCTGGTTTTGTGGATATATTTTCTCTCCTGCTGCTGCACTGTGACCAGAGGATGTGGAGAAAAATACAGGGCCTGAGGTTACTGCATGTCCAGGAATGTTCCTGTACAGAGACTCACTGTTTTACCTGACCAGGTCTAACCTACAAGCAGCCGGGAAGTGAAGCCCTCAGCGGCAGTGATTGATCACCTCATCAACGCTGGATCCCCCCTGAGCACAGTACCTGTTTTTTTATTAAACTACTTGAGGCCAGTGTGTCTGCCACTGGAGAAGTTACTATGTCTGCATTATGCCAGTTATAATATGGGCTTTCTCAGTTACCAGCTTTGTTTAGAGTGTTACACATCTCTTTTCATCTGTATACCGTTGTTTGCCTATCTATGTAGGAGACATTCATATTAATTAATGCTGTCACAGTTCGTTATGCTGTCCACTTTCAACACAACACCGGCACCAGGACTTGTGCGCATTCATGAACTGTCCTCTCATTTTTAGGAAGAGACTTTTTGGTTTTATTTTTCTGAAAACTGATCGACTACCGTAATTTCCAGACTATAAGCTGCTACTTTTTTCGCTTCATGCACACACACCCTCATCATGGAAAACACACGACGAAATGCATATGATGCAGCTTTCAACTTAAAGGCGATCGACCTGGCTGTCGAAATATCTCATGTTACAATGTGGACACCTGCGGCTATGTACAAACTGTTTTTTCGTTTTAAATTTAGTGGTTGCGGCTTATATTCAGGTGTGCTCAATAGTTTGGAAATTACGGTATTTGGAGTTATGAGGGTGCCAAGCTAATCTAGAGGTACCCAAGAATAAACATTAAATGGCTGGAAACAAGCATGCCATGGGTACTTTAAAGACTAAATGTTGAACTGGTTTCCCATGTTTTCATTTCCTAAACATGTGTTTCATCAGCACACATTAGTTTGAGCACAAAACTGACTTGTCCTGGAAGAGTCTGCCACAACATGTGAAACCTGGGCAGATTCCCTGAGTGTTTCTCATGGCGGAGAAAAGTTGAGATAAGACAAACTGTGACACAAAGGTGGAATGGTAGAATGTATTTACCAGAGATAAGTGAGATGCAGTGGTGGAGGAAGTATTTTGATCAAATACTAATATGACACTGATATGATCTAAGATGGTGCCGACAACTATGGCCGCCTTGTGTACTCGTGCTCTCTTGTGTTTGTTGTTTTTCTTTGTTTTCTCTGTCTTTTGCAATCCTTCCCGGATTACTTTAACAAGAGAAGAATTGTTAAACAACTCGGACAACTCACACCAAACCACCTTTCCCCAACTTTTGTGAACGAAGAATGCTGTGTGGACATTCTGATCAGTGGTGCAGCTGCAATCTATGGGACCTGGAGGAGGCGCCAGTGAGGCAAGTGAGCACGCGCCTTAGTCAGGCTATGCTAGAGAGGGACCCGGACTCCACTCTCGTCCATTCACCTAGCAAATGTCCGCTCTAGCCAACAGGATCGATGAACTCCTTCTCATCAACAGAACTAACTCTGACTTCGCACTGTTGTACCCGATACTTTTTACCATACTGACTCTGACAGACAAGGCAGTCCAAGTAACTACAAAACAGTGCTGATTTATTCCATGAACACAGGCAAAAATTAACATTACACGCTCAGGCATCTTGCACCTCCAACCTGCACGCAGGCAGATGAAAGAGGAAAGACCCTGAACCGAACCAGGCCTATACATTTATCTCTTCGGTTGGGCTAGCCCCATACTACACAGAATACCCTGTAGAAACTCATAAGCATGACTAAGCATTTAACAGTCTAACTAGACATCCTATCTCCACTAAACATTTCTAATACATAAAGTATCTATCCAATATCTATCTGACTAAAAATACCTAACAGCACGCTCTGCTGCCTTATGCTTGTCTCAGTGACTCCATCGCGGACAGTGCAATCCAA